CTGGCGGGTCAAGGTAGCCTTCGCAGCATTTCGACGGAGTCCTCCATGCCTAATTTACTTTCTGATGTGTAGCAAGTGTGCTGCGTGCGGCCGCCGTTATGCGCATTGCTTGCAGCGGATGCCATGTTTGTAAGGAAATTAAGTGACAAGCCAACGCATCTGACGCCCCCCTCTCGATTGCGTAAACTTTGTAATAGTGACAAAAATCATGCCATGTGTAAATCTCTGCTACTCTAGGATATGCCTTTGTTTTCCACGATACTTGGAACAGTAAAACACCTGAACACTACTATGGTGTTAGCGTCTTGATATTTTCACAGTACATGTCTAGGAGAAGCCTTCTAGCTTAGTCACAGAAGATAAAGTGGCCTTTTAGCATCACCATTTTGAGTTGGAGCTGCTGCTTCTTTTTACTTATTTACCCTGTAATTTACTCCAAGAGACACTAACATATTTACCTGTCCATATCTAATTCTATGCTGTGGTCATTATGTATTTTGTTGCTCCTTTATTCTGTAACCACTAACCAATTGTACTAAATTACCCTGTTCTCTTGGTTTCTCATCTGCCTGATCTACATTTTACTTCTCAAATTGCTTATGAGTATGCCCCTTTTCCAGGTTATATTGTTTCTCCTATGGGGTTTGTGCTGTTGCAAGGTCAGTGTTGCTCAATCAATCACTTTTGTAATGTATGAATTCAGCTTCATGTGGTTTGTTAATCGTTTATGCTCTTGGAACTGCAGATAGGGTGGGACTCGGTTATGAGAATGAGTGTTGATCTGCGAGACTTATTTCTATACGAGGCTTTCTTATACTATAATCCTCTTCTTCTGGTGGTGAGTTTCTTTTTGTTGTTGCACATGTGACATACTCAACTCTTAGTAACCGCCTATGCAGAAAATTTACTCATGCATGTAATTGTGCTTTGTGTTTCTATTGTAGGCACTGATGATTTGGTTATGGGGAGTAAATTTGTGGGTTTTCGCACAATCATCAGTAAATTATGCGAAGGTGTTTGATCTTTCACAGACACATTTATCACACCGAGAAATATGGAGGGTATGCCTATTTATCTTGTTTGCGATATCCATTTGATCTCTTGTTTGAATACATTTACACTGACATGCCTATCCATAGCCTATAAGCTTTATGGAGTACTGCAAGTGCAATGTCTGTGGCATATGGTTGTTACGGTAGCCTGAATTTTATCGATGGTGGCAAAGCTCTCAACATAGTTCCCAGTCCATTATATTTTTCTAGTACAACTGTACATAACATTTCTAAAGGAACCGTGTCTATCTTGCTTTTATATGTAAGTAATATATATGATCCCTACTTTAGTGTCTGGATGAACATGCATTGCCAGGGTAATTATTTCTACAGTCGAGCACTGATGGGCTGGTGTTTTGAAGTTGGCTCTCTTTTCTTTAAACTGTATCGTGTTTTTGTCCTGTCCATTTCTTTTATGCTGACATAATATTGTATAATTTTTAATATTACATGTACTCTGGCATATTATTCTGCTTAAGTAACACTTATTTCCCTCCATTGGCAGTGTGCTACTTGGCTGACTTTAGTTGTTCCAACAAGTATGACAGCTTACCTATATCTGTATTCACATGGTGAAGTGTCTCTTGCTGCATCTCAACCAGTGTAATATCTTGAGCTCATTAAGTTGTTAATTCTATGATTTTCTCAGGGGACCTTTTGTTGTGTACACTATGCTTGGTTATACTTGTGGTGGTGCTTATCAGTTATCAGTAATCGAATTCGGACATAAATATCCCCAGAGCTCTTCCAAGGAACAGTATAATGATAAGATAATTGTTGACATACTAAAATGAATGTCTCATTGTGTATCTCTGACTCTGTTGTGTTAATTGATGAATTGAAACTTACATCCTGTTGCAAGATCAGAAAAGTAGTATATTCATTGTACATTTTGCAAGCAACGAATGTTAATGCAATTGCCACTTTTACCCTTAAAGTTATACCTATTCTCTTGTAATCAAATAAGTGGAAATGCCCATCTTAGTACAATACTATTATATGTTAAGCATCAATTGATGTACGTGCACACATAGATACGGATGGTTTCTTTGTAACACTGAAGTGATCTGAAGTTCTGCATGATGCACAATCCACTTACTCCCGTTTCCCCTTAGAAACAATAAATCACGCAATTTATTCTACTCTGATGCATTATTACTTTTTAAATGCTGGGTTATGAATTGACATATCATTCTGCCTGTCTGCAGGTTCTTTTGTATGCTGTCCTTCTGATGATCCTCCTTTCTCCTTTTGATATGTTTTATTTATCATCACGATTTTTCTTTCTGAGGACCATGTGGCGTATAGCACTTCCATTACAAGTAAGTTGTAAAAAAAATCAGTAATGTTAGATAGGTTTTGCTTTTAGCTATGCTATAGACAAAACAAAATATTTTGGTCTCTGGTGGCTATTATATATAACTGATTGTCCTTGCTTGAGCCAGTAAATCTGATCAAATAACATTTTGAATTGATTTAATGTACTCTTGTTCCGCAGGCAATTACATTCCCTGACTTCTTTATGGCGGATATTTTTACATCCATGTCAAAGGTATGCAGTCATTTTTTGTGAACAATTGGAGACAGTTTGCAGTCATTTATTTAAAGTGTTTGCTGTCCATTGTTTTGTTTTAACTAATTACTGCTATAGATAGTATGGCATGGTTTTCTTGTTTAATATGTACTCCCTCCGTAAACTAATATAAGAGCGTTTAGATCACTACAGAGGGAGTACTATATTATTTTCTGTTCTCATGTTGGCTGTAATATACTGTAGTTTCTGTAAGGAAAATTATCTCCTAACTACGTGAGCATCTGCAATGTACTATTTCCTCGTTTGGTAGAGAACTGTTTCTAGCTTCTAGGCTGTCCTGAGTGGAGATTTTCAGTTTGATCTTTCTAATATGTTGCTCAATTGCTGTATTTGTTTGCAGGTGTTTTCAGATTTGGAACGTTCAGGTTGTCGCATGGTCCATCGTCAGGTTAATCTCTTTGTTTCTCTTGTTCTATGCACATATTGTCTTCTGCAGTATCCATACTGCTTGCTTTACTTGACGATTGCAAAGTACTGCAAAAAGTAATCGTTATTATGAAATTTTACAGGTCGCGACAATTGCTTGGTTTGAAGCAGATTCAATTTGTGGTAGCCACTCTGTAGCTATTCCTCTAGTTCTGGTACTCCCTTATTTGTGTCGTTTCTTCCAGTGTCTTCGACAGTACAAGGATACAAGGGAGAAAACTTGTCTTCTGAACGGTATTTACTCACCACCATATTTCAGCTCTAATTCTTTATTTCTTTTGAGATGACATACATGTTTAAAGTGCTAGAAATAGAACAAGTTGTAGCTTGTGATCATATGTTTTGTACCTATTTCTGGACACTTACCAACATTTTTGTACCAAATCCAGCACTCAAGTACTCGACAGCAGTCCCTGTGATATTTTTATCAGCTCTCAAGTATCATGTATTTCCCAACGTATGGATTAGCTTTTACCGCCCCCTGTGGCTTATTTCCAGTGTTGTGAATTCACTGTATTCCTTCTACTGGGATATAAAGCGTGATTGGGATTTGAGGTGCCGTTCTCTACAAAAGTTTCTTTTCTACTCTGTCCTTACGTATCAATTGTTGGTTGCTAACAAGACTTTCTCTATAATTGCAGCATTTTAACCAGGATTTTCATGTTCAAAAACCCAAGTGCATGGAGCAATCTTCTTTACGGGCGTAGCTGGGTATACACTCTTAACACATGCATGGTTTTAGCTAGTACACCTTGTTAATTTTCTGAACTAATCCTTACATGATTGCTCTACAGGTATTTTATTGGGTGTTAGGTAGCAATCTCATTCTCCGGTGTACATGGACGTACAAGCTTTCGGCGCATCTTCGGCACAACTACCTGACAGTGTTTGCGATAACAGCTCTGGAAATGGTGAGGCGGTTCCAGTGGGTCTTTTTCCGCGTCGAGAATGAGTGGAACAAGATGACAGCCAAGCAAAATTTTGAATTGTCATCTGATATGCCGCCTTCAGAATCAGATAGGCTACTGGATTCTAACAGCCATAAAGTCTAACCCTACACTCAAAACAATCTTATAGCACGGTCCGTATGAGGTTCTCTCTCGTAATATCTCTAGAGCTCGGAAGGCCAATTGTACAAGATAGATTTCCACACGAAATGAAGTTGTTGGCACATGTGCCATATGTAACACTCTTGAATCCAGACAAATGATAGTGATACCAAAAAAATTTATGATTTGGCACCTTTACAAAGATAATCTGCTTAGCTGATCTGCATATCAACAATCTGAGTTTGATGCTTTATCCTTTTGTTTCTGTTCAACTTGCAACTGTTCAGATGCATCTGTAATCATCTTGTGCAACAGTACAACAATTAGCGCTCATGCGCAAGTGCAATGGGTGCGAATCGTATTTGTTTTCTTCATCGCAATGCCTGGTAAGTTGCACTTGAACAGCACATTGTCAAGAAAGTCATGATTATCTCATCTTGTTTATAATATCAATGGCTGAAGCAGACAAGATTGATTGTCACAACTCATAAGCAGAGTATTTCCTGCTATCAGATAATGGCTGGGCCCGGATGAAGTAACAGTTACCCATTGGAACAGTCTAGAAACAGCTTAGTTTAATGCTTGTGGTGTTTGCAGTCAGTGTATATACCCACCAACGGATTTTATTTTCCTAAGCAAGTTGCAACTTGGATAATGGAATCCAAACCAAAATGGAGCCCTCATTCAGGACACTGAAGGAAGATTTCTCCCGAGAAATGAGCTGATTTTCATTCTTGCCATTACACCTGACATTATTATTAGGTAAATAATTTGAACAGAAACCAAGCTCGGTTATTCCTTGCATCCATGCAATAATTAAGTGACTTACACATGAATTACTAGTACTCCTACTCTACCACAAATACACAAACACAAGTACTAATACAGTGTACATATAAAGAAAAGCATGGGACACATCAATGCTCGTCGAATTCGCAGCCGCTCGTGGTCACCGTCGAGCGTGCGTGCGTGAGGCAGCAGCGGTACACGAGGCAGAGTGTGCGCCACGGAGAGGGAGGAGATCCAGAAGGTCCGGGGGGGTTTCCGCGCGCGGCTACGGAGACGTGAACGCGTCGTCGAGCCACGCCGGCCGCTCGCCGTCCTCCGGCTCCGGCGCGGCGTGCTGCTGCAGGACGAGGAGCGAGCGCAGCGTGTCCCGGAGGCGGTTGGCGCGCCTCCGGTGGCGGATGCGGCGGAGCACGGCGTCCTTCTCCAGCGGCCCCGCGCCGGGCCCGGGCCTGTGCAGGTACAGCCGGCTCGTCACCCGCACCGCCGCCGCGTCCCCCTCGTCTTCTTGCGCCGCCGCCGGGGGCGGCGACGAAGGTGGGCTCTTGGACATCCTGGAGTCCATGGCAAGATCGATCAGACTTCTTCTTGAGAGCTTCGTGTGCGAGTGATGAATGAGCGAGTGAGGGGAGTGTGAAAGGTGGCGAGGCAGGGGCCATTTATAGGCGGTTTCGGGGAGCTCAATTATTGATTTTGGTACCCCGGGTTGCTGTTTATTACGGAAACGGGGAGCCGGAGGACATGGTTTCACGTGTCAGCGCCGCTTGTTTGCTTTTGTTTTTGTTTTGTTTTGTTTCTTCCTCTCGCACTCACAGATGGTGATGGGAGATGACTTGTGGTTTGTGGAGCACATTCAGGTGAATGCTTTGCCCAAATCATTGCAAGTTAATTAATCCCATGTAGTACAAAGAGAATGCCACGAGTAGGTGTGTCGATGACGACCCGAAATTATAAATTTTAGTTTTGTGTCCTAACTTTGCCGGTTTCAGTCTGAAATCAACTAGCTCAGCCGCAGTTTCTAGAGAGAGAGAGAGAGAGAGGATGGTAAAAAAGATTAGTGGCGCAAGTCCTCTGAAATTGACTAGGAGTGACAGTGAAAGGTTAGAATCTGTTCTCCGTGAGAAACGACCAGTTGGGTAAGAACACATTTCAGCTGCCACGCCAGGAAAACACCACCTTTGATTCGGGCGACGTCACTTTACACTCACAGTTTGCCATGGCTGCCTAAGAAAGTTGTACACTATTAGTTTGGTCAAGCTAATTAATTTGGAGACGCTTGTGAGCACTGAGCACACAAGAACTAAGCTAAGCAAGAGCCACACCTAAAGATTTCAGTTAAAGAGATACTACTGGTAGTACTAGTAAATTAATTACTGTAGAATCGAATCATGCGTGGTTGCAAGTAGTACAGCACTCCTAGTAGTACAGTACAGTAGTAGCGTTTGTCGGGAGCTGGACACGTAGCAAATTAAAGTAGCGCCGGAAAGCCACCGCCCAAGCTTGGATCTGCACGGTAAATAACGAATAAACGCGTTTTGCCTCGGCTGGTCGGTGAGTGCAGTAGGGCGCCTGAAGACGACGCGGTAAAATGGAATCAGGCCAACTTCACCGCGCGACCCTAAACGGACGTCCGTTTTATCCTGTTTTTGTTCCTTTGGATAGGGATTTGGAGTCGTGTCCAGGCCTGTCCTGGGATGCGGTGGTCGTGCGCCCAGCGCGCTGCCGCATCCTTTTGCCCCATCCTGTCCGTCAGGGCCAAGAAATGCTCGAATTTACATTAAAACTAGTTTCGAACTCAAATTTTTGTTTGAAAATTAAAATAGTTTTACAATCCAATTGAAATTGTCTTTAATAAAATAGTTTTACAACCAAATTGAAATTGTCTTGACTGAACATAAAATGGACAAATATATCTATTGGTTGCCAATGTAATTCCGCACGTGCTCAACCAAGTCATTTTGAAGATTCACATGAGTGTGTCAATCACGCATCTCACGGTGGAATTGGGCAAACTGTTCAAATGTGGCCGGGTCTTGGTGCAGGGGCTCAATATTTTCACCTTGATAATCAAATCCTTGGTCGAAAATACTCTCATCACGCTCGTCCTCGACGATCATGTTGTGCATGATCACACAAGCAGTCATCACCTCCCAAAGTTTCCCTTCATCCCATGACAGTGCAGGGTTTCGAACGATACCCCACCGGGATTGAAGCACACCAAAAGCACGTTCCACATCCTTTCTAACACTCAGCTTGCATTTGGGCAAATCTCTTTCTCTTCTCACCTTGGGGTTTCGAGATTGTCTTCACAAAAATTGATCACTGAGGATATATACCATCTGCTAGATAGTATCTCTTGTTGTAATGGTGGTCGTTGATCTCAAAGTTGACAGGTGGGGAGTGGCCTTCTGCAAGCCTCGCGAAGACTGGAGAACGCTGCAGCACGTTGATATCATTGTGAGAACCTGCCATGCCGAAAAAAGAATGCCATATCCAAAGATCTTGTGATGCCACCGCTTCTAATATGACAGTGCACCCGTTAACATGCCCCTTGTACTGGCCCTGCCAAGCAAATGGACAGTTCTTCCACTCCCAGTGCATACAATCTATGCTGCCAAGCATACCTGGAAAGCCTCTAGCTGCGTTGGTCGCCAACAATCTCTCTGTATCAGCGGCAGTTGGCTGCCTCAAGTACTCTGGGCCAAAGACCTCGATCACAGCCTGACAAAACTTGTACATTGACATCAGACATGTTGTCTCACTCATACGCACATACTCATCCGCCAAATCGCCTGGAATTCCATATGCAAGCATGCGGATGGCCGCGGTGCATTTCTAGTAGGAGGAGAATCCAAGCTTGCCAAGGGCATCCGTCTTGCACTTGAAGTATGGGTCATGAGCAACCACTCCCTCTCGGATACGATTGAACACATGCCTTGCCATACGAAAACGGCGACGAAATTTATCCGGCCTGAAGAGCGGGGTGTTGGCAAAGTAATCGGCATAGAGCAGGGCGTGGCCTCTCTCCCTGTTGCGGTTCAGGTTGGGAGCACGGCCAGGGACTGACCCCCTATACCGAGGAAGCTGCCGTTGAATATGGTCGTGAACGACTAGTGCAGCCACCACATGATCGTCATCATCCGACGACGAATCATCCGATGAACAAAGGAAGTGATGGAAGAAAAACTCGTCTCCACTGTCCATACCTTTGTTGGCAAAATGTCGAACACCTTGCGGTCGTGGTGGCGAAGAGGCCGCGATGATCACCTCGACGCAGCAGGGTGGTTGCCGGCCGGCTACAGGCCGCTCTGGAGCTCTCGTCGGAATCTGCCTCAGCCGCCGTGGTACATCGCCGGCAGTCGTGTCCCCTCTGCCACCGGCAAGGCCGGCGACGGCCAAACCTCCTCCGATCGACGACCAAAACTATGGCGGAAGCGCGGGCGTGGTGGCGGCCATGTCGAGACGTGGTTTGGTATGGACGGCGGGGGGGCTGCGCGGTGAGGAGGCGGCCGGAGAATAGCGGCGGCGCCGGCGGCGGGGCGGGACGGGAAGAGAGGGTGAAGCGTTGGGAGTG